TTGTGAGGAGCACACAACAGTGCCCTGAGGGATGTGCACAGAGCAGTGAGAAATACTCATTGCCCTGAATCCCCCCACAGGGAGTTTGCAAAGCCAGCCCCGCCGGGCACAGGGTTAGCTGGAAGTGCCCCAGACACTGGCCCAGACACGCTGTCCCTGTCCCCTGCCCTCTGCCACCGCTCACACAATGGTGGAGGAAGCCACCCGGGCCGCATTTCCCTTCTGCTCCTTGGAGAATCGGGGCAGCACACAAGCTGGGGACGGATTTAGCTCCTGGATGCAGATGAAACATCTCCGTGCCGACTGCTCCTTCCCTGTGCTCAGCCCCGTGCTCAGCCCCTCATCAGGGCAGTGGAACTGCACACAAGGGAGCAGAGCAGCGCAGTCAGCGCGGCAGGCAGAGCACAGTGCGGGGAAACAAAGAGCAGGGCTGTGTTTGCTGCCTTCTTGGTGGCATTCACTTCTGCTCAGAGCCGGCTTCCTCTTGTCAGGAGCCTCTTGACCTGCAGATCCCTCTCCTCAGCAGCCCTGCTGCCCCGTGCCAGGATCCGGCTGCCTCTTCAGATCGAACCAGCAAAATGCATTGAGCACAAAGAGCCCGAGCTCTTGTGTGCTTCGAGGCTTTCAGCTCCCTGGCGGTTGTCCCTGGGGCTCACATTTGAGGGGAACGGCAAGGCTCCCTACAAACACATCAGGAAGGGGGAAGGCTGCCAGGCCCGGCCCTGCTGCTCTGTCCCACAGCCCTTTGGGTGCAGTGTGCAAGCTGCTGGTCGGCTTTGGCACAGCGGGCAGCAGGCTGCAGAGCTCCCGGCCTGTCGGTGCCCTGCTTTGCCCTGCACTGCCGGCCCTGCTAGAACTGGGGCTGTGGGCCACGCTGGGACACAGCAGTGCTGCAGTCCCAGCAGTGCCCTGAGCTCTGACAGCCGGCGGGTGGCATTTGGGACCAATGGCTGTCACCAGCTCAGCGAGAGTCCTGCTCGCTTGTTTTTACCCAGCTGTGGAAGTAGATTCGATTCCCCATTATTATGCTCTGGAGTCAAGTTTCCTATAGGTAACTTAGGGCGTAGCCTACGTATGTGTAAAATACTGCTATCGTGTTTTCAATTAAAATGCCTATGATAGTACCAAAAGGAGAGGAGGGATCAAGGAAGGGAACCCAGATTAAGTTTTTTAATTGTTTTAATAGTGAGATTTAGTTCGGTGAGAACAGGGCACATTGGTTTCCTTGGAAACACTGGCGATGGATGAGCTGCATAAATCCAGCAGGAAAAGATTTGCAAAAGCGGAACCCTTTGGTTTAAAGTGAGATTAAAACTCTTTTCGTTCGGAAAATGAGATCCTCCCGCGGCCTCCGCAGCGCACCGGACCGGGCCGGCAGGGACCGCAGGAATGCCCGGTGCTGCGGGGGGGCTGCGGCCCACCTCGGGGCGGGGCGATACGCGCTGCGGGGCTGACAGCTCTTCCCAAGGAAGGGGGAGCGCAGCCCGCAGGTAACGCCACGCGGAGGCTCGCACCGTCACGCAGGGGATGGATGGGGGTTTCGGCGCGTCAGGCAATCGCTGGGCTGAAGTCACCGCAGCAGCTGAGTAAATAGAGTTACGGAAAAGGCATTTATGGGAGCGTTCGCGTTCCAGGATCCTCCCCGTCTCCTCATCCGCCCGTTTGTTTGTGTTCCCGTCGCTCTGGTGCTGAATCCCGAGCGAACGGGGCCGCGGTGCGGAGGGTGCCAGGGGCACGCGCGGCCGATCTGCCCACAGCGCACACGCCGCACAGCGGATCAGCCCCGCAGCGCAGCGCGGCTCGGCTCCGCACGGCTCGGCTCGGCCCCGCCCGCAGCCGCCGCCCCCCGCGGCGCTCCCCGCCGGCCCGGGCCCCTCCAGGCGGCGGTGCGGGAAGGCGCGAGCTGCGCCTTTGTCACGGCACCGGGTCAGCGCGCGGTCACGGCCCCGCCCCACGTGGACGGAAAGCCCACATGGCCGGGCGTGCCCCGCCTCCTTTCTCCCATTGGCTGTCCGGAGCCCGGCGGACGGGTTTCCCACTTTTGATTGGCTGAGGGCGCGCGTCGTTTACATGCGGAGGGCGGGGGAACGCCCGTCCGTGACATCGGGCGCCGTCTGGGGCCGCCCCCGAGGCGTCTGGGGACCTTAAAGGGGCCGCAGCACCGCCGCTGTGCGGTGCGTGATTCCGCCTCCGTGGGGCCGCCGTGCTCCCGGGAAGGTGCGAGGTTGCGGCGCGTCCGGGCGTTCTGAGACTCGTTCCCTAGCGCTGCTTTATTTTACATGCAGAATGCTGGGATACTCCGGGTCGTAAGGGTCCTGCAGGGGTCGTGAGGTCCTGGCCCCGCAGAAGTCTACTCGAAATTCCCTGCCTGGTTTTGCTGGTTTTGTTTTTCAGTGCAAGAAAATAAAACGCGTTCATCTGGGGAGCCGTGAGGGAGACTGGGGCTGGCACAGGGCACAGGGCTGTGCTCGCGTGGGCACTGCTGGGATGGAAGTGTGTTGTGCTGCTCTGCTGTATGGTGACAGTAACAGGCATGGAGCTATCGGGAGGATCCAGGCGTGTTGGGGAAAAGCTTTGTCAAGAGGGTGGTGGGCATGGCACAGTAACCCAGGGCTGTGGGCACGGCCCTGAGCTTCCAGAGCTCACAGTGTTGGGGTAGCACTCTTGGGCATAGGGTTTGGGTTATGGGTGGTGCTTTGTAGAAGCAGTTGGGCTCCGTGGGGCTCAGGACAGTAGCAGCAGAGCCACAATTCATTAGGAGAGACACGGTGGGCACTGTGGATCATTGGAGGTGAAATCTTGATTGTGGTGGTTCTCAACACTTACTGCAGAGGATGAACTCTGAGAAGGAAAATGTGTCTGATGTTCCAGACAACAATGAGGGCTCATCTGCTGAGGAATTAATTCAGAGTGGCTGCAGGGCTTTAAATCATACGTGAGAATAATCTGTGCAAACTTGCAGAGGGAAGCAAGGGGCTGCCGGGCACCGTCCCTGCCCAGCACTGTTCTCCTCTGCACAGATCTCAGTACTGCTGCCTGCCAGGGAGAACACTGGGGTGCCTCGTCTCGAACAGTTTAAAAGCCTCAATGAAGTGGTTAGTCACCAGAAAGTGGAACCGTGTCTGGGGTTGTTAGAAATAAGGTGCACTTGGAAATAAATATAGAATTATTCACCATGGTAACTCTTGCCCTATTGCATTGGTGCGTGTCTATTTAACATGAGTCTGAAAAGTAATGCTGTGAGATACTCTGACTCCTCAAATGGACAGCTGTGCGGTTAACAAACCTTTGGGGAGCTGTTTTTGTGTTTCTTTGGATCTCCTCAACCACTCTGCCAGGGTGGTTTGACTCTTAGAGTTACTTGTGTCTATTATGGTTATCAGTTATCAGTCTGTCCCTGGTGTAGCACTGCAATGATTACAGCAGGGTCACTGCAATCTGTAACACTGAAGCGCTGCCCTGAAGAATTGAAAGCAAAGACTGAAGCATGACTGTGTCAGCAGTGACTGACTGCAGGCCTGGACACAGTGCCATTGGCCCCTCAGATCAGAGAGCATCGCTGTGTGCTGTGCAGGTTGTCCAAGGAGCTCGAGCTCAGCCAGGATGGAGCACAGGTGTCAGAATGCACTGGAGAAGCACCGCAGTGTGTGGTGCTGCCCTGAGCACCGTTGGGGGGGGAAGGGGGGAGGGGTGTTACTGCAGAGTGTTCAGTTAGCTGATTTTACCAGCCCATCTGGAATGACTTTAATTATTTGTTCTTAAATCACGGTGGAAAAATGCTGATAGTTGTAAAGCCACGAGTGGTTCAGATGCAGTTGGGATAGCGGGGCGTTTGTAGGCCAGCGTCAACTTGCAGACCGTTCTGCTTTGTCTTCCGTGAGGTGAGGGCGATGTGCGGACTTGCAGCAGCCTGTGTCTGCAACCGGAGCCTTCCTCCCATGCAGCCTTCCTCCGGCGGAGCCCTGCAAGCTGTGGGGCTGCATGGCCTGTGTTTCTGGGCAGGGGGCTGGCACTGCAGGGCTGCCACCATGCTGTCACCATGCCCTGACCACGGGTGCTGCCAGCTGCAGGCAGAGGCTGAGCTCACAGCCACCTTTTGGGGCCACCAGGTGAGGCTCACTGGGATCAGGTCTCTAATATTCAGCCGCCAAAGGCTTTAAATACACAAAGCTGTGTCTCTGGCGGAGCAGTGATGGCAGTGGGCCCACACACACCAGGAGCTGAGCAGTGCAGCTCCCTTCAAGCACGGCATCCCACTCATCCCCAGGATGGTGACTGCCGGGTGCACAGAGGGGCAGCTCAGTTTGGCAGCCCCCAGCTGTGTCCTTCAGGTAGCTTTGCAGTGCTGGACCGGGCACGAGGCATTGCGAAGTGCAGGCACGTCGTTACCGAGGGTTTGTAAACCATCACGGAAAAATCGGCCTCTGCTGATCGGGACCGTGGGCTCCCAGACGCGCTTTGCCCCCCGCCCGGCCCGTGGCTGCACCCCACTCGGGTCCCTTTCCAAGCTAAGAAGTCTGTGCTGACCCCCGGCACGTGGAGACCCAGGGAGGGGATGGAGTATTTTCCTTTCTCCTTTCTAAAAGCGAACGGGGCTGCTCCATTTTCAAGCGATCGCTCTGAAGCAAAAATAATAAAAGGGAACGAGAACTATGGGTTGAGATCCGGAGGAGCGAACAGCCGCGCTGCGGGCGAGGCGCTCGGCCTGCCCCGTTCCCTTCCCTTCTCTTTCCCTTCGGACCGCGGCGCTCGGGGCCTCCGCTACCCCCCCGGCCCCGCTCCGCACCGCGGGGCGCCCCCCCGCTTCGCACCCCCCCTTCCGCGCCCCCCCCGCGGCGGCGGCGCGAGGACGCGGGGCAGTCCCCGTCTGGCGCTGACGTCACGGGGCCCGCCCGCGGCTGGCGGCGGCGCGCGGCCGCGTCCCCGTGGCCGTGAATGAGCGCGGGGGGCGGGAGCGGAGCGGGGAGCGGGGAGCGGGCGGGCCGCGCTCCCGCCGCGCCGCGCCGCTCCGCCGCGCCCCACAAAAGTGAGGGGCTGCCGCGGCCGGGCCCAGCACAGCGCTGCCCGGGCCGGAGGGGGCGCGGAGCCGAGCCGGGCGGAGCCGAGCCGTGCCGGGCAGAGCCGCTGCGGGGGGCGCTGCGCTGCGCCGCGGTTGTGATTTCCAATTTTTAATCGCAGCTGCATTTCCCTCCCCCCGCCCCCCCGCGCCGAGGAGGAGCCCCGGCTTTATGTGGTGCTGCCCGGGGAGCGCTCGGCGGCCCTGAAGTGCTTTGTGTCGCCGTCGCCTTCGTCTTTTTTTTTTTTTCTTTTTTTTTTTTCTTTTTTTTTCTTTTTTTTTTTCTTTTTTTTTTAAATGTATAACTTAATGGGTCTGAACAGCACGGCCGTCGCTATTCAGCCCAATGTGTCCTGCACATGCAACTGCAAAAGGTCTTTGTTCCAGAGCATGGAGATCAGTAAGTACCGACCTGCGGCCCTCCGGGGCTGGGCGTGCGGTGCTGGGTGTGCAGATGGCAGCGGGCGGTGGGAGCGGGGCTGGGGAAGTTGCCGTGGCTGTGGCCGCGCTGCGCTCCCCACGCACGGCGGCGGCACGGCGGGGCCGCGGCTGAAGGTGCCGCTCCGCTCCGCCGCCCCCGCGCGGTGCCCGCGACCCCTCGCGGGTCTCCCCCGGCCCCACGGGGTCCCCCCTCTGTCTCGGCGCGGATAGGAGCCCCCCCACCCCACCCCCATCTCCAGGTGTCGGCGTGGTTGTGCTTTTTTTTGGTGTTTTTTTTTTCCCCCGTCTCTTCTGGGGGCTGTTCGGCTTTGGTAATGAATATTTTTCAACCCGCGCAGAGTAGGAAAGGACGGCGCCTGACCCGATAGCACCGCCGTTCTGTTACTCTTTGCCTTTTGGAGATGGACTGCGCAGAGATGGAGCGCAGGATGGCACTGCCGAGGACAGAGGCGCGGCGGCTGCTCTGGGACTGAAAAGCGAAGGGCTTTTCTGTGCAGGGAAAGATCTTGGGGCCAGGCGGGCTGTCAGCGCGGTGCTCGAGAACTTAAGCCCTCTGAGGCTGAATGGTCCAAAAGCTGGGGAAGGCTGTGCGTGTGCTCCCAGCAGGACGTGGGTTCTGTCAGTGCCGGCTGCGGGGCCGTGGCACCGGGCGCTGCTGCGGTCCGTGCCGTTCCCGCAGTGGGTCCGTGAGCAGTGGCCGTTCACAGCCCGGTGCCGGGCAGCCTCCGCCGCCTCCGGTTCCGCCGCTGTTCGGTTCAGGTGTCCGCGTCCTGCGGGAGAGCTGGGGGCGGTTCTACTCCGGGTGCTAAAATGGATTCACTCTGAATTTTAGCATAAAACATTCCCTTTGTACTGCGTGCGTTTAATCTTGATTTAATCTCATTCGTGTTCAGACAAAACTAAGCTGGATTTGCCTGATTTTATTAACACTGCCGGTACTGAATAGACCATTCTTCTCCCCTGACTCCAGCGGCCGGGCGGGCTGTGCATACCAATAGCGGCGGGTACATAATGAGGACCGTTCCGTGGGTGCCAGCAGCAGCGCTGCGGGGCTGAGGCTGCAGCCGGTGTCCGGCTGGGCTGGTGGCAGCGCTGGGAGCTCACACGGCCAGTGTCTGCTGGAGATAGAGCTGCTCTCCCACTCTGTTGCTGTGAGGTTTTGTTGCAACCACCCCAGCTTTGAATTTCATACTTCTTAGAGATAGCATCTTGGGTTTTGTTTCTGCATTTTCTGACATGGGCTCAGTGGGATGCAGTGCCCGCAGTCCCGAGGGCTGTCCCTGCAGTGCTGCCCACGCTGTGCTCAACCCCAGAGCTGGGCTGTGTGGCCGGGCTGCAGGGCTGCTCGCCTCTCTTTTCCTTCCCGGGCTTCCCCTTTGCCACCGATGACATTTATCTCTCTGCTGCCGCTCACCGCAGTGGCAGCCGTGGGCTGTGGTGGTCCTGCAGGAGCTGTAGTCCAGCTCTGAAGGGGGGGGAAGAGCTGAGCCCCATCCATCCTCACAGAAAGTCATATCATGGCTTTTTCCTCCTCCAGTCGCTTCTTTGTGCTTATTCTTTTAATATAGCTCTCAGGGGACCTCTGGGCAGCTCCCATCAGATGCTATCTCAGTTCCCAGCCAAAAGTTCCCAGGCACGAACGCTTTGAGATAGTGGCAGAGCTGTAAGCTAATTTAGGTCTCTCGTTAGGTTAGCCCTGTATCTGAGCCCCCAAACTGTTTCTTCACTGGTTCTCCCTGAGCAGCGAGCAGCAGCTGTGCTCTGTGCAGCTCTTGGATGAGGGGTTTGGGAAGGAGAGGCTGAGCCTACTAGTTGTGCTGGGCAGCACTGGGTGCAGCAAAATGAATTGCCTCTGCAGAGTGACAGAGGTCAGGGCTGAGCCTGGTGTCAGATGGGTCCGTAAAGAACTCATTGTGAGGTGAGTGACAGACTGAGGTGTGTGTCTGGGAGCTCATTGCTCGGGAGGGGGATGTTGCAGCATCCCAGCATCTCCACTAGGACCTCATCTGTGCCAGGGCTGCATCAGACCCCATGGGATGATCCCAAAGGGGTTCAGCTGCCAAGGGAGATGGGATGCCGAGGAGGTGGTTGGTGCAGGAATGGGGGCAGCTTCGGGTGTGGGTGTGCAAGGGTTCTGCTGGGTTTGTGCTCGTGCTGGGGGTGGCACTGGTGGGAGCTCTGCCTGGAGTGGGGGCTTTGAGGTTTTCACTTTCCTGGGTTTAGTATCAAACAGTGCTGATGGCTCCACTGAGGATCACGTCTCCTGACCACTTCAGACTGCGTTTTGGCAGCAATGTCTCTGTCCTGACACAGCGCTCAGGGCAGAGTGTATAACACTTTCGTTTCCTCCCTCATCTGTGAGGTTTCCTGTAGGAGGCTGTAGGAAGGCTGAGCTGCCGCCAGTGCCTTAGCAAGCTGTAGAGCGTTCTCTAAGTGTGCTCCGGTTGTGGTTCTCAGTTTGGCTGCAGCCAAAACCAGGAGAATGCCATGTGTCCCTGCAGGCTGTGCTGCTCCGTGTGCAGGTCAGCATCCCCAGGGGTGCCCAGAAGGAGCAAGGCAGAGGCAGGTGGTGGCCTGGGTGCTGGCCGTGCTCCAGTCTTGCAGCACTGGGGTCATAAAGCCAGACTTGATTTGGTGCCCTTGAGCAGTGATGTAATCCTGCTGCTATAATCAGGGCTGAATGGAAAAATGAAAAGATGTAGTGGGAGGAGAAAGATCCGGCTTTTTTTTTTTGTTGTTTCTTCTGGGCGAACACCTGGGTGACACTGCAGCAGGACCCTACTGCACACACAGCAGCGGTGCCCAGGACCACGCACAGCACAGGGACGTGGCATGGCTGGGGCTGCCCCAGCAGGAGGTGCAGAGCAGGGCATAGGGACTGCGGGATGTGTGACGGGCTGCACATTGCCCAGCCCTCGTTTCACCTGGCGCCGTTTGCAGGTGCTGACTGACAGTGATGACACCGCAGTGTGTGACACACAGCACCCACACTGCGTCCCTCAGAGCCAGGAGCTGCGGGGGGTCTGAGACACCTTGAGATGCTCAGGGTATGAATGAGCCGCTCGCTTTGCAGGTGGAGGGGAGCGCCTATGGAGAAGTGCTCTCTCTCCTTATTGGTTTTTATTTGCTGTTGCTCACCTAGCGTGCTAATATGTTTAGCTTTCCAGCGCTGAGAGTCAGTGGCAAGTTAAATCCAACTTGAGAATGAGTTTGTAAACCTAAATTAGAAATGGGTAGACATGAGGAGACCTTTTCAAGGGAAGTACCAAAATACGTGGTGTCACTAATGGGCATAATTACAGCCCAGCTGCTTTCCTGAGTAACTCGCTGTGCCGTCATCCCTGCTGGTCTTGTTTCAGGTAGTGGCATCTGGCAGAATTTGGTAACCCTCATGAGCTAAAAAAGGTCATTTATTTGCAATGGCTTTTCGGTGACAAACTGGCTCACACCTCATTCACTGCCTGCAGGGAGATCCGTTCTGTTTGGTCACTGCAGCCCTTGGTGCTGACATGGGGCACCTGCTGGTGGTGCGGCTCTGCCTGCAGGAGGGATGTGCAGGGCTACAGCTGGGGAGAAACTTTGTTCACGCCACCAGCACACTGCCAGGAAGCCATAAAGCAAAGGAATCATTAACGTCAGTGGGGATGCTGCATGCAGCGCTCGTCCCGTCTGTGTGGCTGAATTACCATGGGATCATTTTGTAATTATTTGAGGAGGAAATGCTGGAGATGAGCTGCAGCACTGGGGTAGCATCTGTGTGTGCACACAGGCGTGAACCCGTTTGTGAAAGTTAATTGATGGAGCAGTACAACAAAATTGTATGAAATGGACTTGAGAGAGAAGGGGTTGGTAGCTGGAGAAAGGAGTTGTGACTTGTTGTGCATTTTTTTAGAGCAGATAAATTTCAGCTGCAGTTCATCGTCCAAACCGGAGGATTTGGGGAACTCTTGAGAGTAAAGAGAGCTCTGATGATTTGGCCAGGAATGCGGCTTCCAAGGCGGCACTTTGATCTGCATTTTAAATGCTTCTTTGTAATGGCAGTTTCACAATTTCTTTTCTCATTTTAAGTCAGTTTTGCAGAGGTATGTTGTGGGAGAAAACAGTATGAGCACACATGATTCCTGTCTGCTTTGCAGCCAGCTAGAACTTGTACTTCATCCCAGATCTGTTGGCTACTATGGCACATTCATGATTACGCCAGAAAGGAAATTAGTAGAGATGTTAAATATTATCAAAGCTTTGGGAATCTTCTGAAATATCTCCAGTGTGAAAACTAAACTTGCATTAGCATTTCTGCTGCAATGTGGTGTGCAGCATTGAGCAGAGCACCCACCCAGCATCGCAGGTTCCTGATTTGTTGTTTGGTTGTTTTTTTTAACACCTGACAATTGATGTTTCCATGTAGCACATGCAGCCTGGTGATCTCCTGCTGCACTCCAGGCCCTGAGTGTACTGAGCCAGAAGCTTTCTGAAGACAGCCTGCTGCTTTAGAGGTGCTGGTGGCGACCTTTGTCTTCCCTTTTCATCTACAGCACGTTCTCAGATAAACTCTGTCTATCCCTATGAAGAGGGCTTGTTGCATTAATTTCTGTGGTAGGAATGGAGTAAGGGGGGATAGGAATTGAGAACATTCATTAAAGCTTTTGTTTAAATCTTCTGTAGCATCATTCCTTCTTGCAGACAGCTTGGGGAATCAGAGGCCTTATAGGTGAAGGACAAATAGACACGTGTTCCCCAGGGGATGCAGAGCTTCGTAGTCGCTGGTGGTGCTGGCTTTGGCCTCTCCTGAGCTCTGACTCTGAAATGTGTGAGGCCAGCAGCAAACTGGAGACCAAGCTCAGCTGGTGTGCAGAAAGGCTGCGCCACTCACCTGCAAGCAGTCAGCCCACATGGATGGGCCTCAGAGGGCAAAGGGTACAGCAGTGACTGAGACAAATGGTAGTGTAGACACATCTGCTG